TGGAAAGCCTTAGCATAGCAGAGCCCACAAAGTTGAAAGAGAACCACTTTTCAGCAATCAAACTAGGAAAATTGGGATTCTGGATGAGAAAGTTTTGGAACTTGAAAGGGGATTTCTGCCTAACAAGAGGAAGATTCAAGGAGATGGTGCAAGGAGAGTGGTCTGAAAAATCCGGTTCGCCAAAGAAAGCAAGAGATCTTGGGAAAGATAGATGCCAACTGTCATTTACCAAAATCCTATCAAGCTTTTTGGCCAAGGGAGCAGTCTCTCTTTTATTCCACCAAGTATAGGTGCAACCCCTGTAGTTAAGATCATCCAAGTCAGCAGAGAGAAGGCAATCACGGAACAGTCTTATAGGGAGATCAACATTTTGGTTCTGCAAACAAGAGAAATCAGAGAGATTTAGAGCCTGGTTGAAGTCCCCAAGGAGAGACCAAGGTTTTCCAGAAACCCTGACATGCAAAGCAAGACTGACAATCTCAGCCCAAAGGGTTCTTCTTGTGGCATCATCATTTGAAGCATACACAAAAGAGAAAATGACCTCAGAGGAGGAGTCAGGCAAAAGAACTTCACAAGTTATCATTTGCAGGGACTTGGATATGATGGAAACCTTGACACTAGGATGCCACATAACCCAAATCTTCCCCAAATCAGAAAAGTAGTAGTTATCCTCAAAAAACCAGCCAGGCAAAACCGCATTCAAAAACTTTTTCTGTTTTACCTGCTTAACATGAGTCTCCAGGAGACTCCCGATAATAGGGTGGTTATTATTATACCAATTCCGAAAACCGCGACGGTGACTATACTTATTAAATCCGCGCACATTCCAACAAAAAACTTCTGTACACATTGATTAAAGCTTTTTGGAGCCCTTGCCCCGAGCACTTCTTTGCTGTCGCTGTGAGAACATCTTCAAGAATTGAGCTTCGTCGATTTCCGGGTCCACTTCTCCATCAGAAGAAGGGATGTCAGATGAGTCTGAAGACAAACTTTTAACCTCAATTTGATTTTCACTTTCCTGGGTTTTATCCAGGCGCAGGTCAATACACAGCGAATTGGAGACCAAAGAAGGAGGGGGAGCTAACTTGGCTGCATCTTTCGCTTTTGCAGACCTAGGCTTAACTTGAACCCATTGTGGAGCACTTGCAGCTTGACCCGAGGGAGCAGGCGCGAGAGGGACAAAGGAGCGAGATGAAGAAGCAACAGCAGGCAGCAAATTCTGAACTATCTCTTTACCTTTATCGCCAGCTACAGAGGGGACTGCTTTCAAACCGGGTGGCGTTACTAAAGCCGAGCTAGCCAGACCAGTCTTTTTCATAAGGGGTTTCTTCTTCTGTTTGCCATGAGAACGGGGGCAATCAGTCGTGGGGTGGCAAACCGAAGAGCAAGAAGTGCAAGTGATCGGAGCTGTCTTACATTTCTTTAGACAGTGTCCGACTTCTTTGCAGAAAGAACAAACAGGAGGCATCCAAGAACTAGAGACCAGAACGCGACAAATCTCACCCGAGGCAAATTGAGCGTTAACAGCTTCAGGTAGTGGTTTTCTCGGATCAATCAAAGTGAGGACCTTGGCCACTTCTAGATTTGTAAGGTTTGCAGTGGAGGGATGAAGACCTAGCGGTTCACCAACTAATCCAGCGATGTGTTCGAACCCTTCTTCGCTAAAGAATTGGTGGGGGACTTGGCGTAACTCAAGCCAAACCGGCGCGGAAGTGAGTTCCGGCTTTGAAGGAATCGGGCCTGGTTCCCACTTAGCCACAAACATGGTTTGTCCCTCTATCTGCCATAAGCCTTGAGCGAGGACACGACGTCTAGTGGCTGCGTTGGGTATACGGAAGAGGAAGGAATTACCCTCCATCTTAGTGACAGAGATGTCTCTGTGAAATTTGCTCCAAATACCATTCGCAATCGCATGAACCGTACCCTGAGCCGGTGGATCTGAGTAAAATTGGCCAAGGATGAAGCATTCCCAATCCTTAATGTTCTTCTCTATCACCGAATTGGGGATTTTAACACAAGCTTCACCCGATGGTAAGGTGAAGGCTGTACCTTTTTTACTAAGCTTCTGTGCAGAGCCTTTGAAGAGACCCAGCCAAGGAGCGTTGCTTGAACTGGCCGGAGTCATGGAACTGGCCGGAGCCGGAGCAGGAGTTGCAGATCTAATAGACGAATTCGCAATTAGGTCTGAGACTGGGGGAATGGCCTTACTATTCACGCGAGCGGGAGTAAGGGCATTAATTGGTGGAACCGCTGTCGAGGAGGACGGTGGAACCAAGGAGCCTCCAGACAAGACAGAGGCAGGGATGGACGGAGCACAGACGGATGCAGGAGTGGCAGAGGTCGATTTCGGGTTTGAAATCACCGCGTGGTGCGGATCCTTCTTCCTAGTCGACTTTTTATTCTTCATAAGGAGAAGAGGGCCTTGAAGAGGAGGGGGAGCAGAATTCCGACGTCGAGATCGACGCCGGACAAGGTGGGAGAAGGCAGACACTTTATCGCTCTTTGGAGAGAGAGAAAAGTTCTTTTTTTTTTTTTTTTTTTTTGAATTCATCGACAATGAGATAAATTGACAAAGTAAAAAGTGTGAAACCCAAATCTAGAATAGTTTTCTTTCATAAGAAGCAATTTCTATGTAACCATTAATACTAGCTATGACTAAATAATAAATATCTCTCTAATTATTATTAAGACAATAATAGGGCATTCACTAGTGATGAAATTAAAGACCCATTAACAGGGAAGTAATTATAATAAATTAATGATATAAGCTTTACGATGTATTGATGTTGAAATTTTAAACCCTAAAACCTCAATTATAATCTCAAAATTGTTGTTATTTTGAGAAAAACTAGAAATAAATTGCCATCAATTTAATGATCAAATTAATATGTTCGTTATTTGTTGGAAAATTTTACCATCAATTTAACGAATTATTTATTATTAATTGTTGACAAATTTAACTATTTGACAACAAAGTCGTATATATGTAAATTTACTTTCATCAGCTTAAAATGCATTATTTTTTGTCGCTATGTTGATGTATACCCCATTTATGGTGAATTATAAATGAACGGGACTGTTGTTATATATATGTTTTTCTAGTTTAAGCTGAATTATATCTAAATTATCAAGCAAAGCTATATATAAAAAACTAACCGAGATTTGTCTTTTACGCTATCAAGACATAAGCATTGTAAGGGAAGATGGAGGTTAATTGTTGAATGCATAATCCAATATCCCCTCTACCTCATATTTCTCTACATCCATCGCTTTTACTTTCAAAAGCTTTCTCATGCTCCTTTACGTTCTGGATCCGTCGATCTACACCAATTCTTCATACAACAATTATCATAAAGTCATTTTATGTCTCTTATATTATATTCCACAAGATATTAAAAGTTGTAAAAAAAAAAGTTGATTAACAAATTTCTAAATAATTTTTTTCTTTCTTTTTGGACCTCATTTTCTAAATATTATCTTAAACTCATGAATGATTCACATATTTTGAGCAGTTTGAATAGATAATATCCGTGTTACAAATTTTAGATCCATAAATTACTCTGGATAGAGATTGTGCATGAAAATTTGTTACAACTTTGACGGCAAAACGTTTTGAAATATAAGAAACATGTGAAAACAAATTTGGTATTTAGAAAATTATAATCTAAATCTATATTAACACCATTATTCTACTCAAACTGAATATTGGCCAAACACAATGACTTCAAAATATATAAAAATGAGAAAACAATTAAAAAGCAATACTAATTAGACGGTTTTGCACTAATATTTTATATAAGACTAATATCAAATACACAGTTCCGAGAAAAACCTGTTGGAGATTTTTCGAAAGCAATTTCATATTTCGAAAGAGATATGTGTAGCTAGATCATAAGATCGTTAAGAGAAGTACCATGAATTAAACATGCATGATCTCTTTCCTTTGCCCCCAAAATATATGATGTATCAATGATCAAGAAAAAATAAAGAACTTAACTTAATCAACAAAACAAAAATAAAATCTCTCTAGTAAATCTATTTGTTTTATACTACAAAATAAAAGAACTATATTTGACTAGAATTTTTTTTTAGATTTCTTTCTCATTTTATTTATTATTAATTATTAATATATATATATATATATATATATATATATATGTTGCCATTAGAACTCTTATTTTAAGGTAATAATTTTAAAAATAGTCAAAGTTAATCAAATTTAGCTGTAAAAAGTGTGGACTTTTGACAACTGTCACACCCAAAGATATTTTTTTCTATTACATTTTTTATAAAGCTTTTTTCCATTAATTATATGTATATTTTTACTGTGTTATTAGATTTCACATATATTGTTATGAAAAGTATCTGTATTTTTAGCTCTCATTCCTATTTGGTAGTTAGGATTACTAATCATTTAAACAATCATGTGTGATATATACAAAAGTTACTTAGCACTATGATCCGGCTCTGTTCTGAGAATCTAATCATGCAACGATAAAATATGCTGTGTTTTGTGGTTGTGTATATCATTCTTTATGAGCCGTCGAGAAGGACGTGATCCCTAAGTGTAGAGCCACCACACCAAATAGAAAATATAGTCTTGGAGAGTTCTCAGTCGTCACTTTCAGACTCCATCTCCAACTTTATATATAAAATTGAATCAAATGAGCCAACTTGTAGGATTATCGTTTACATACATACTTAGTTACGGTTCATTACGTATTTTACGTGCGAAATTATCCGCTTTGACATTAGCTTGATGAGAAACTAAAATTAGTGAAAAAGTAAGGAACCAAAGTGTGTCCTAACTAATCCAAGACAAGTTAATCTTTCCCAGACTTTTTCACTATTCCTTGGAACCGGATCACCATCGACAAGGTTAAGTTAATTCAATTAACCGTTTGCTCTCAAATAAAACTGAAACATTAAAATCATTATATTTATATAATAGGGTTAAACGGCCACTATAACCAAGAAGTTCAACCATAGTTAAATTATCACAACCGAAATAGCATTTAAAATTTCTAAAAAGGAAAAATTTGACCGATGTAGCTTCAGTCCCATAGATACCCAATTGTCGCTTTATTCCCCAGTCCTCGACAGTTCCAAGAAATTTCATTCATTAACCGCTGGTTGGTTTTGAACCATCAGGTCCTCCCTTCTCCATATCCTGGTTCCGCGGGGTGTGTTCCTCGCCAACCATCTGAGCAAATCTTTTCTTTGCATTCACCTCTGGAAAATCAAATCCCATTGGCCTTTTTCCTCTAGCCTTTTCTTCACGTAAAGCCAATTGCCTTTCCAACTTGGCCCTCTCTTCCTCATCCTTGTCCACAATCTTGTGATCCATTAGTGCATCCTCAAGTTTCTGAACATTATCCTCAACATCTCCCAAGGTTGGATTTGCATCTTCCATAACCTGTTCCTCCTTCCCAGTTTCAATAGGAACAGACTTCTCTGATCCCACCTGCTCATCCACCTCCATATCAGAGTCTGTGTCATAAAAAACATCATCATCATCATCAGAAGTCTCAGATTCCTCCGAGTAGTCTACATCTGAATCTTCCTCCACATTTTCAGCATCTGCTGGAGGTGGAGGTATGTTCTCCCCTTCCCTTGATAGCAAGAGCGGGTCATCATGGCTGTCATACACATTAACATATAATATGAAAACAATGTTTAATATAACAACTCAGAGAAACAAGAACTAGTATACCTTAGTTATATAGTTCATAGTGCATATACCTTAGTCTCATGAGAGGGTCTGGGCCAAAATCAGCACAGCAGATTGGACAACAGCGCCAGTCATGTTCCACTATCTTGCCATGAATGCACTTCCAACAAACTGTTTACAGATTTCATATTAGGAAAACTTTAGTTGAAGATATCGAAAATAAAAATAAAAATGTGTACTTTTGAATCAAATCAGATAAATATAAGAAGCAAATGATTCTGGTATACATATATGACATAATAATTTTCTATTTATTATCTAAAATGTTAGATAACGTATCCAATTTAAATTAAACCAGAGACCGTTAAAAACCGTTGGAAATGCTATTTAAAAACAAACGTCTTTGTTTGCTATATGAAAAACTTTACTCAGAGATATTGGAAAAATAAATTAATATGACTCGAATCCTATAAGTATAAGAAACAAATGATGATTCTACCTTTAATATACAACGAATATAAATAATAAAGGAAGACTCACCAATTAATTCTAGTAATTAGAACAATTTCAAGCCATAAACTATTTATTAATGAGATGGACCAAAGCAAGATTAAAAGACAAAACTCATTAAAACAGTGGACTCAATAAGATAACAAAACAAGTGATAACGAAGTACTTAAGCACCATTCAAATCCAAAAGCCTAAATGAATCAAAACAATATCATTATAGGGAATTGAGGAGCTTACAGATGTGACGACATCTCTTTAGGGCAGTTGCTTCATCGAGCAAATTGGTACAGATGAAACAAGAGTACAGCTTCCTCATCTCATTATCCATCTTGGTTTCGGTTTCTTCTAAGTTTCTACCAACAACAACAACAACAACAACAAAATCAAACCACAAAATTAAACTTCACATCTAATATAAATATATAACATGATAATTTGATATCTAGTATCTAAAAGGTAAGATAACATTTCAAGTTTAACTTAAACCAGAAACCGTTAAAAACCGATGCCCGTGTATTTTTTTTAAAGCTATCTTTATTTAATATTTATCATAAATCCAAAGTTTTTTGTTTTAAAGTTTCGTGTTTTTGTTAATTAAAAGAAGATCTGAATGCTAATATACCCAAAAAATACTCATAAGATTTGTTTATCTCTACTAGATCTATGAACAATCATAGTGGAATCAAAAGATTTAAGATTTAAAATCAAACAAGCTTGATGTGTTTATCTATAAGATATATGAACAATCATAGTGAAATCAAACTAGCTTGATCTTTTCAAATTAGAACAACACTTGTTTCTCATAAGATATACATCAACAATCATATTGATGAAATCAAGAGAAAGATAGATGAACACTTGTATATAGGCATAAGAATCATAGGAGAAAAGTATATGTGTGTGAGGTGTAAAACAGTTGTAATAAGATAAATCAATGCAATAGAGTAAAAATTAAGAAAAAAAAAATAAAAAAAAAACAAAAAGAAAGAAAAAAAAAAGAAAAAATAAGAAGTTCTTACAAATCTACAAGATAAAAGAGAACTCACCTTTGCTTTCTTCACTGCAAAGGGAGCGTATATGTCTAACCCACAATATAACAAGGATATATATACTGTCAAATTGTAATTTTAGTCTAATTTTATTTATTTTAGAATTGCTTCATATTTTAACTAGATAAAGAAATAAATATTTTTATTGTAAGTTTTCTACAAATATAGGCCTAAAGTGCATTAATCATATATGTATATAAAGTTAAAATGCAATAAATCATTTTGTTCAAAATTGCTATATATTTAAGATAAGGTGCATGGACCAAATGCTCATTTTTAGTAAAATATAACGTATATAGCTTTTTAGAATTAATCCAGCAAAGCATTTGTTTTTTTCCAACCAAAAAAAAACAATCCAGATTTGCACTTTTTTCTAGATATCACAACAAAAATGCTTATATAGATGTATATCTATATAAGTATATATATATATATAAGAGAAAATTGTCAGTTCTGCCATATACAGTGACAAATCTTTTATTCAGTGCCATTAGTGTTTTTATCTTCTCCCGCCTGCCACAACCTATGTACTAAAAGACTATCATACCCTCTTTCTAATGAACTCTTCTTTTCTTTTCTCATGTCTCATATCTCTCGTATCTTTCTCTCTCTCCTCTGTTTCTTTTTTTTCTTCTTTCACTTTCCTCTTTCTTTCTCCAATAACAAAAAAAAGAGATTTCTAATTTCACAAGCGTTTGCTCTGACAAAAAGATATCAATTAGCTCTGCAGATGTTGTTTAGAAGTTGTCTGCTGCATCTCCACTGGGTCAATTCGATGGACCAGATCTGGTAGATCAGATCCGGTGGACCATATTCAGTGAACCAGTGCGTGAAATCTTTTTCACCCATGTTTTTCCTACAAAGGGATCTCAATCAGCTTTGCAGATGCTCCATAGAAATTGTATATTCTATTTCCGACGAGCTAATCTCGGTGGACCAGATCAGGTAGACAATATCCAGTGAACCAGTTCTAGTGGACCAAACTTGTCTATTTTTACTAAGCAATCGTGTCCATCACGCAGATCTTTTGAAGCCATAAGCGATCGACCAGATGATGAAACAAGTGATGCATTTATGGAAATATCATTTAAGATCCTTCTACGTTTACACTCTTGACCACACATTTGTCTGTAGATGGACCAAATCTCGTGGACTAATCTGGTGGACCAAATCTCGTGGACTAATCTGGTGGACCAAATCTCGTGGACTAGATCCGGTAGACTAGATCTGGTGGACCAGCCCCGATGTCTGTAATATGTCCATATTTTGTTCCCTAACTTGTTGTTCTATTTTTTTTATAAACTAACTTGTCTATAATACACATGTTAGTGTGGTAATAATGTTGGGTAGTGAAAAAGAACAACTAATAATGATAGACGATACATGTATTTATCTTGTCCACTGTAATTAATGATGGAACAAGTTAGTTTATAATGAACCTATTTTTTGAACCTACTTACTTTATTACCCAGAGGATATTACACTACATCACATGCATACTTCACTCAACAAATACTGAGGGCAAAATCGTCCTATTTTCCTTCTTTGTGGCATGTTTTGAAAGAGACTTTTGTTAATGGCAGTTTTACAAATTTGAGTTTCAGAAATGGCATTCTTAACAAAATTCCCTATATATAAATATATAGTGACAAAAAAAAAAACAATGACATATATAGCTTTTTAGAATTATTGAAGCAAAGCATTTTTTTCCAACTATAAAGTTATTTGCACTTTTTACTCTCTTTTTTTTCTAGATATCAAACAATTACATATATATATATATATATATATCTGTCTCTATTTTTTTCTCTGTTATTTTATGGAATCTTTATATAAAATTCATTTGACTAGTTTCTTGTCAGTATTATTATTTTCTATTCAAACATCTGATATGATATGATTTCCTTTGACTAACATATATTAAACATTTTTATAACTTCAATGAAATTATATTCCTACAAATAATGAAAGAAATACGACATATTTAGCTTTAATCATAGCTTAGGAAAATTTTCAATACAAATTACATTTTAACATTGTATCAATTACTTTAAACTTTTGATAATATTAATAAGATAGAAAAGTGATTTTAGTATTGATGGGTAAGAATTGTCATTCTGGAGTAGGTAAGTTGTAAGGAACTATGGTTATAATTTGTAAAAGAGAAAAACAATGAAATAGAGCCGTGTTATAATTTCAGTTCCCTGAAACAAAAGTGTGTAGGTGGAAAAAATGTTTTAAATTTGGTGTAACTTTGGGATTGTAGGGTATGGTTAACTTGGCTAAACAAGAGAAACAAACAGAGTAATTTGTTTTGTTTTTGTGTTTTCACCAAAGTTTTCTCAAATTTTTGTCTTTTGTTTTTCTTTTCTTACTCACGTTTTTTCTCTGCAATTTTTGGTGCAAACGCCAGAGTTTTATAATGGTTAATGGGTGTGACAAACGTTTACAACCGTTCGTTTAATTGTGTTGGTTAGTAAAGTAACATACACTCAAAAACTATGTTGGTTAGTAAAGTAACCATACACTCAAGAGTTGCGTTGGTTAGTAAATATGCACTTTTACCTTTTAAATATCCAACAAAAAATGATATGAACTGTACCAAAAAGTGAATCTAGTTCTTATGAGAAAATGGTAGTGCTTATTTCACAGAGTTAGCTTTCAAGTTAAACTCTACTTGTAGACATGTAAGCATTTGTATGTATAGTGCTGTTTAATACATAATATACTCATCTCATCAAATCTATCAGTGGTGCTATTTTACTATGTATCAGATCATAGTTTACAAGGGTCTTTGAATATGCAATTAGAATTAGAACTTTATGAGTCCTCTCAGCCATTTTGCTTTGCAGCTCAAGATGTTTTAAACTTTCAAGCTTATAATTATGATGTAGATAAATTAACACTATATGAATGTATCTTAAGCTATGTATACGTCTTGGAAACTGTGATACCCTGCTTTGCGAAAAGGTTTATATGAATTGATTTGGCCAGCTATGTCACCAAAGTGCACTTATCTTTTCGGTCAAAGGTCCTGAGAAAACTCCACAGTTAAGCGTGCTTATGCTGGAGCAGTCAAATGATGGGTGACCTTCCGGGAAGTAGTTGTCGGAACTGTGTGAGTGAGGCCAAAACAGACGGAAAGATCATGTTGTGATTTGTAGGGTTGGTAAACAAGTCTTAAAATCTCTCGGACATAGCAAACCGTCCGTCGGATATTGATGGGCTCATGGGCCTAGTGAGAGGATGTGAGGCCCATTAAGAGAGGTGTGCCCATGGGCTGGTGATAAATATGGGACCCACTGGAGAGATTGCGGTCGGGGCTTTACAGATATATTGCATGAGATGAGTGCCATGATATTATAGAAGATTTGTTAAGAAGCTTTGTTTGTGTGTTGATAAAGTGATTATATGACTTCTTTATCTATTGTGAGTTATGTGAGTAAACTCAATTTTTTTTATATTTATGTTCTACAAATCTCCCAAAACCACCCTAAACTTTTTCCTTAAAATCTCACCAAATGAAAAACTAATCTTCTTTTTCATAAAACAAAAAATCTACAACTCCACCAATATAATCTAAAAGCTCATTTAAATCTCCCAAAATCTTAAATTTCCTAAATTCCATAAATTCTTCTAAAATGTCAATTCCAGTACATATATCGAGTTTTATATAGTAGTTCACAAATGCGTCCTAGCTCATAAATATATATACTTATTGTGTTAGAACCCCTAAAATCAGCAACTATGTAATGTAGGTAACCACATTTTAGTGTTAGAAACAATAATACATGAAAGATTATCAAGATAATACATGAGAGAAAAAGAATTTGGTTTTATTATTTTTAGATTGTTGCATGATATATATATATATATATATATATTTCTGTTTAATATAGTGGCAATATTATCCATAGCTCTAGTGTGTGTTAAGTTTTTATACATGTCTTAAATGTTTTTTTTTTTGTTTTAACATCAAGATATATTACTCAATGCAATTATAAAAACTGTTATAGAGACTATTTTACAAGCACAATTTATTATGCTCCTACTAGATCCACCAAAGATACCAATTTTTTCTCCGCAACATTTCATTCTTCATGCTTATGTATACTTTCAATGATCCATTACAGACGACCTTTCTTTTTTTCATATTCATGATGGATACCTTTAATGTGTGCAATCACGAGAAATGGTTGTAATTGCACAATGTTAGAGATCTCCTGTAAGTTTGAAGCTGACAGTATAGAAAAAATAGTTAACCTTTGGTCAATCTTTCGGTCAAGGGGGCTTCCACACAGCAGTAAAGGTTAGTGGTCAATTCGAGGCTATTTAATATGATTTTGTTTATAATTTAAAAAATGACGTTGTTATGTGGTTTTTCACTTAGGGGGAACAAATAAGCATTATAATCTACAATTGGGAGTATAATGTTCCATTCTAAAAAGCATACATTCCCAAGAAGCCAAAAACTAGCAAGACCATAGTATTTTTCTAGAGAATAATTAACCAAACGTATTAAGAAAATTTAAGATCTAAAAACTCAGTATATGTAGTACATATCACAATATGGATTTAAGTAAAATTTCCAACTTGGTCATCACTAGAATCTTAGTAGCAATCTCTTAAACTGTCGAAAAGGAACTTACACAAAGCTAACTTAAAGGTATCACAGCGATAAGTAGAAAAAAAGTAAAGGAATTAGCACAATACTCATTTATCTGACATATCATCTAATTTTGGAGCCTTTACTCAGATTTGTGTATGTTTCCTTTTCTAGGGTTTAGAGATGACTACTTACATTCCCATGATAACCAAGTTTAAGGTTTACATCTATGGCTCTTTTGATATATACTACATACATATAAAGTTTTTAAATCATGAAATTTTCTTAAAACCTTTGGTTATTGTCATCTAAAGAAGATAATATGCCCTTGCTATTTATTGACTTTTTGTAAAAGGATGCCATTTACCATGGAACACTATGCTCACAACTATAGACTATTATGATTATTTGTTATTCATAGAAACATTTTTATGTGTTTTTGCTTATAAGAAATGAGAAGACAGTGAGATAAATTGACAAAGTAAAAAGTGTGAAACCCAAATCTAGAAAAGTTTTCTTTCATGAGAAGCAATTTCGATGTAACCATTAATACTAGCTATGACTAAATAATAAATATCTCTCTAATGATTATTAAGACAATAAAAGGGCATTCACTAGTGATGAAAATTTAAGACCCATTAACAGGGTATAGTAATTATAATAAATTAATGATATAAGCGTTACGATGTATTGATGTTGAAATTTTAAACCCTAAAACCTCAATTATAATCTCAAAAATTTTGTTATTTTGGAAAAAATTAGAAATAAATTACCCTTAATTTAATGATCATATTAATCTGTTTGTTATTTGTTGGAAAATTTTACTATCAATTTAACAGATTATTTATAATTAATTGATGACAAATTTATCTATTTGATAACAGAGTCGTATATACATCGAATGTAAATTTACTTTCATCAGCTTAAAATTCATTATTTTTGTCGCTATGTTGATGTATACTGGTGAATTAGTAATGAACCGGACTGTTGTTATATATATGTTTTTCTAGTTTAAGCTGAATTCTATCTAAATCATCAAGCAAAGCTATATATAAAAAACTAACCGAGATTTGTCTTTTACGCTATCAAGATATAAGCGTTGTAAGGGAAGATGGAGGTTTATTGTTGAATGCATATTCCAATATCCCTCTACCTCATATTTCTCTACATCCATCGCTTTTACTCTCAAAAGTTTTGTCATGCTGCATTACGTTCTGGATCCGTCGATCTGCACCAATTCTTCATAAAACAATTGTCATAAATTTATTTTATGTCTCTTATATTACATTCTACAAGATATTAAAAAATGATTTATAAAAAAATTAAAAATATTGTAACAAAAAAAAGTTGATTAACTAATTTCTAAATATTATCTTTCTTTCTTTTTGGACCACATTCTCTAAATATTATCTTAAACTCATGAATGATTCACATGTTTTGACTAGTTTCTCTCCCAAATAAAACATAAATGGTTTATCTACAAATCTCAGTGTAGAAAGAAAATTCAAATCAATTAAAGAGATATTTAAATAGATAACATTTGTGTTACAAATTTTAGATCCATAAATTACTCTGAATAGAGTTTGTGCATGAAAATTTGTTACAACTTTGACGGCAAAAAGTTTTGAAATGTAAGAAACATGTGAAAACAAATTTGGTATTTAGAAAATCATCTTCTAAATCTATATTAACACCATTATTCTACTCAAACTGAATATTGGACCAAACACAATGACTCTAAAATATATAAAATGAGAAAATAATTAAAATAGCAATACTAATTTGACGGTTTTGCACTAATATTTGATATAAGACTCATATCAAATACACAGTTCTGAGAAAAATCTGTTGGAAAATTTTCGAATGCAATTTCATATTTCGAAAGAGATATGTGTAGCTAGATCATAAGATCGTTAAGAGAATTACCATGAATTAAACATGCACGATCTCTTTCCTTTGCCCCAAAAATATATGATGTATCAATGATCAAGAAAAAATAAAGAACTTAACTAATTCAACAAAACAAAACTAAAATCTCTCTTGTAAAAATCTATTTATTTTAGAGAATTTTTGAGAAATACCCCTTTTGGTGTACCCCTTTTTAAAAATACCCCTTTTTATCTATCCATTTTCAAAAATACCCTTTTTAAAATAAAATAAAATTATAAAGTTTTATATAGTTTATAAGGTACTTCTTTATAATAAATACTACTGGGAGATTCGATACAAATATTTAAAAATGTTTTAAATAGTTTTAAATCGTTTTTATAAGTTTTATAAGGTTTTTAAAAGGTTTTCAAAAGGATTTATACGGTTTTTATAAGGTTTTTATAAGGTTTTTATAATTTATTTTTACGCTATTTATGAAAGTTATATAAAGTTTTATATACATATAAAGGTAATTTGTGTATATATTTATAAGCTTACACACATATTTGGATAAATTTCAACATTTTTAGTGGGTTTTTTGATAAAGTTTGAAAATGGAGTATTTTTAAAAAGAGGTATATGAAAAGGGGTATTTTTGAAATTCCCCCTTTATTTTATACTACAAAATAGAAGAACTATATATGACTATAATTTTTTTAAGATTTATTTCTCATTTTAGTTATTATTAATTATTAAATGTATATATATGTTGCCATTAGAACTCTTATTTTAAGGTAATAATTTAAAAAATAGTCAAAGTTAATCAAATTTAGCTGTAAAAAGTGTGGACTTTTGACAACTGTCACTAGGCATGTCAATCGGGCTAGCCCGACCCGGCCCGGCCCAAAACCCGTAAAGCCCTTATATATTAGAGCCCGGCCCGGCCCGGCCCGAAAAATATCCGGGCCTATATTTCAAAGCCCGGCCCAGCCCTAACAGGGCTACAAGGCTTTTCGGGCTTTTTTTGGCTTTAGCTAACGATAAAAAATCAACTTCTAAGTTCATAATAGTTTTTAAAAACAATATTTAAAAGTATACTATATAATAATGTATCAAAATTTAAATAACTTATCAATATTCATTAAAACTAACTTAATTTAAGAGAAAAATGAGGACTAAATAAATTATTTACACTTTAACCCAATAAAACATGGAACTAAAATACTTTAAAGTAGATGATAGAGTCAATATCTATATATAATTTTAGCTTTGTTCAGTTTTGACATATATAAATAATAGAAAATATGATAGATAATGATTTTAAAAGTATTCAGTAAGGCTAGTAAGTAAATATGAAAAATTAATTCATTAATCAAATCTTCTATTCAAACTATAATATTTACAAAAATAAAAATATATTTATTTAAGGGCTTTTCGGGCCAGCCCGACCCCGACCGGGTTAAGCCCAGAAAACCCTTTAGCCCGAATGGACTTAGCCCAAAAGGCCCGGTTTTTTCTGGACATATATATTTAAGCCCGAACCGATGTTTTTTAGGGCCGGGCCGGACTAGCCCGCGGGCTTTAGCCCTAATTGACATGCCTAACTGTCACACCCAAAGATATTTTTTTGATTACATTTCTTATAAATATTGTTTCCCTTATTTATATGTATATTTTTACTGTTATTAGATTTCACTTATATTGTTATGAAAAGTATCTGTATTTTTAGCTGTCATTCCTATTTGGTAGTTAGGATTACTAATCATTTAAACAATAAGATTACATGTGTGATATATACAAAAGTTACTTTCGTGTGTTTCCTATAAAAACAAAAGTTCTCTTAAGATATTTTTGTTTCCAAACCCTATTGGTGCTTAAAACAGTTCATGGAGCTCTCTTACCTAAAGAACTGCATCAACTAATAATAATAAATCATAGAATATTTATCCAAGTATCATATTTTTAGAACCAACCTTTACTATCATTTTTAGAACCAACCTTTACTATCATTTTTAACACCCCACTCCCACGTATTGGGCAGCTTGTTTTAAGATAATGGTGCAGCCCATTCAAAAGTTTAATCAGTGCAAATCATGCAACGACAAAGGATGCTGTGTTTTGTGGTTGTGTATAAATAATAATATATAAGCATATGTATATCATTCTTTATGAGCCAAGAAGAGTCTCATTTGCAAAATATATTCTTGTAGAGTATTTTCAGAGCTATATCAGTCGTCACTTTCAGAGTCCATCTCCATATCATAGTCTATTTTTTGGTTTTTGCCGGCAACCATCAAATGAGCCCACTTCTCGGATTATTGTTTACATACATACTTAGTTACTGTTCATTATGTATCTCACGTGCAAAATTATCCGCTTAGACATTAGCTTGATGAGAAACTAGAATTAGTGAAAAAATAAGGAACCAAGGTGTGTCCTAACTAATCCAAGACAAGTTAATATTTCCCATACTTTTTTCTTATTCATTGGAACCGGATCATTATCTACAAAGGTTAATTGTTTTAATTTAAAACAATTAACCGGTTGTTCTCAAATAAAACATAAACATTAAAATCATTATATTTATAAAATAGGGCTAAACGGCCACTATAACCAAAAGGTTCCACCATAGTTAAATTATCACAACTGAAATAATATTATAAATTTTTCTAAAAAGGAAGAAGATTGTTTTGTTTCCATTAAAAACAAAAAAAACTCTGACCGATGTAGTTTCAGTCCCATAGATACCTAATTGTCGCCTTATTCCCCAATCCTCGACAATTCCAACTTAGAAATTTCATTCATTAACCGCTGGTTGGCTTTGAACCATCAAGTCCTCCCTTCTCCATATCCTGGTTCCGCGGGGTGTGTTCCTCGCCAACCTGTTCTTTTGCTTCTGGGCTTGGACGGTTACTTGGAGGCGTAACCAACTGAGCAAATCGTTTCTTTGAATCAACCTCTGGGAATTCAAATCCCATTGGCCTTTTTCCTCTAGCTTTTTCTTCACGTAAAGCCAATTGCCTTTCCAACTTGGCCCTCTCTTCCTCATCCTTGTCCACAATCTTATGATCCATTAGTGCAGCCTCAAGTTTCTGAACATTCTCCTCAACAACTCCCGAGGTTGGATTTGCATCTTCCATAACCTGTGCCTCCTTCCCAGTTTCAATAGGAACAGACTTCTCTGATCCTACCTGCTCATCTTCCATATCAGAGTCTGTGTCATAATCATCATCATCATCTTCATCAGAACTCTCAGATTCGTCCGAGTAGTCTACATCTGAATCTTCCTCCACATTTTCAGCATCTGCTGGAGGTATGTTCTCCCCTTCCCTTGATAGCAAGAGAGGGTCGTCATGGCTGTCATACATATTAACATATAATATAAAAACAGTGTTTAATAGAAGAACACAAAGAAACAAGAGTTAGTCATAGAACATATACCTTAGTCTCATGAGAGGGTCTGGACCAAAATCAGCACAGCAGATTGGACAACAGCGCCAGTCATGTTCCACTATCTTGCCATGAATGCACTTCCAACAAACTGTTAATACAGAGAGAGATTTCATATTAGAAAAACTTTAGTTCATCATTGAAGATATCGAAAAATAAAATAAAAATGTAAACCTTTGAATCAAATCAGATAAATATAAGAACCAAATGATTCTAGTATACATATATAACATGTTAGATAACGTTTCCAATTTAAATTAAACCAGAGACCGTTAAAAACCGCAGGGCGTGCTTTTTAAAATCAAACATCTTTAATTGCTATATGAAAAACTTTACTCAGAAATATTGAAAAATAAAATAAATATGTATACCTTTGAATCAGATCCAATAAGTATAAGAAACAAATGATATACAAAGAATATAAATGATAAAGGAAGACTCACCAATTAATTCTTGTAAATAAAGACTCACACCAATTAATTCAGTAATTAGAACAATTTCAAGCCATAAACAGTGGACCAAAGCAAGATTAAAAGACAAAACTCAATAAAACAGTGGACCAAAGCAAGATTAAAAGACAAAACTCAATAAAACAGTGGACTCGAGAAATAAGCTTATAACTCAGAAGATAACAAAACAAATGATACCAAAGTACTTGAGCACCATTCAGATCCAAAAGCTTAAATGAATCAAAACAATATCATTAGAGGGAATTGAGGAGCTTACAAATATGGCGACATCTCTTTAGGGCAGTTGCTTCATCGAGCAAATTGGTACAGATGAAACAAGAGTACAGCTTCCTCATCTCATAATCCATCTTGGTTTCGGTCTCTTCTAAGTTTCTACCAACAACAACAAAATCAAACCACAAAATTAACCTTCACATCTAATATAAATATATAACATGATAATTTGATATCTAGTATCTAAAAGGTAAGATAACATTTCAAGTTTAAATTAAACCAGAAACCGTTAAAAACCGATGCTCGCATATTTTTGTGAAAGCTATCTTTGTTTGCTATTTATCATAAATCCAAAGTTTTTTGTTTTAAAGTTTCGTGTTTTTGTTAATTAAAAGAAGATCTGAATATCCAAAAAAAATTCTCATAAGATTTGTTTATCTCTACTAGATCTATGAACAATCATAGTGAAATCAAAAGATTTAAGATTTAAAATCAAAGAAGCTTGATGTGTTTATCTATAAGATATATGAACAATCCTAGTGAAATCAAACTAGCTTGATCTTTTCAAATTAGAACCAAACTTGTTTCTCATAAAATATATATCAACAATCATATTGATGAAATCAAGAGAAAGATGGATGAACACTGGTATATAGGTATAAGAATCATACTGAAACAATAGGAGAAAAGTATATGTGTGTGAGGTGTAAAACAGATGTAATAAGATAAATCATTGCAATAGAGTAAAAAAAAAAGAAAAACAAAAGAAAAAATAAAGCAAAAAAAAAGAAAAAAAAAAGAAGTTCTTACAAATCTACAAGATAAAAGAGAACTCACCTTTGCCTTCTTCACAGCAAAGGGAGCGTATATGTCTAATCCACAATATAACAAGGATATATATAGTGTCAAATTGTAATTTTAGGCTAATTTTATTTATTTTAGAATTGCTTCATATTTTAACTAGATTAAGAAATAAATATTATTATTGTAATTTTCCTACAAATATAGGCCTAAAGTGCATTAATCATATATGCATATAAAGTTAAAATGCAATAAATCATTTTGTTCAAAATTGCTATATAATTAAGATAAGGTGCATGGACCAAATGCTCATTTTTAGTAAAATATAACGTATATAGCTTTCTAGAATTAATCCAGCAAAGCATTTGTCTTTTTCCAACCAAAAAAAACAATCCAGATTTGCACTTTTATTTGCACTTTCTTCTAGATATCACAACAAAAATGCTTATATAGATATAGATATGTATATCTATATAAGTATATATATATATCTACAGTGTCAAAAAAAAAAACAATGACATATATAGATATGTATATAGCTCTTTAGAATTAATATAGCAAAGCATTTGTTTTTTCCAACCAAAAAAAAAAAATCCAGATTTTACCTTTTATTTGCACCTTTTACTTTTTTTTTTCTAGATATCACAAGAAAAATGCTTATAGAGATATAGATATGTATATCTATATAAGTATTGTATATATGTATGTATATATAGATATATATATATATATACAGTGTCAAAAAAAAAACCATGACATATATAGGATTATATATATATATATATATATATATATATATATATAAATTATTTTGTCTCTTTTGCGTAACTGTTATTTTATGGGAATCTTTTATGTAAAAATTCATTATGACTATTTTCTTGTCAGTATTTTATTTTTCATTCAAACTTCATACATGATATGATTTTCTTTGACTAACTTATATTAACTTTTTATAACTGCAATGAGATTATTTTCTTACAAAATAAAGACTTTTTTTTTGGTGTACTTTAATCATAACTTAGTAAAATTTTCAATACAAATTATGGTTACTAATAAAATTACATTTAAACATTGTATCATTTACTTATAATAAGATAGAAAATTAATCTGAATTATTTATAAAGAAAACAAAAGTTTAGTTAGTAACATAACGTCCTACCTTCAAATTTGTGTTAGTTAGGGATGTTACATAAAAAACTAACATAAACCACGTTTAAGTGTTAGGACAATAATACATGAGAAAAAAAGATTATTGATATACCGATAAAGATTATTATTTTTAGTTTGTTGCATGATATATAAATATGTCCGTTTAATATAGTAGCAATATTTTTCATAGCACAAATAGTCTTAAATAATTTTATTTGTATTAAATGTGTTTTTGTTTTCAAATTTGGATATATTATTTAATGCAAACTACAAACACTATTATAAAGATGATTTAATTAGGAAACTTATCTCCGATCCTATTTGATCCACCACAAACGTTAGTTTTTTTCCGTACCATTTCATTCTTCATGCTCATGGATACCTTCAATGATCCACAATAGACAACCTTTTTTTTTTTTGTAACAACCTTTCCTTCTTCATATTCATGATGGACACCTTCAATGTGTGGATTCACAATGAATGTTATAATTGCACAATGTTAAAAATCTCATGTAAACTTTCCAATATATTTGTTAATAAATCGTATTATCTTGAATTTGAACCTCATACATCCACTTTAGAAACATTAATTAACCTTAGGTCAACCAGTTCGTCAAGGGGAATTCCACAATGTATTAAAGGTTAGTGGTTCAACTCTAAGTTTAATATGATCTTTAATATATATAATGACGTCATTGTGTGGTTTTGCAATTAACGGGAACAAATAAGCATTATAATCCGTAATTGGGAGTATAATGTTCCATTCTAAAAAGCATCCATTCCCAAGAAGCCAAAAAAATAGCAAGACCCTAGTACTTTCCTAGAGAATAATTAACCAAAGTTATTAAGACAATTTCAAGATATAAAAAAATTTGTATATGTAGTACATATCAAAAGAGGGATATAAGAAAACTTCCAACTTGGCTGTCACTAGATTAGATTCTTAGTAACCATCTCTTAAACTATCTAAAAGGAACATACACAAAACTAATTTAAATGTATCAGAATGATAGGTTGAAAAAGGTCAAATTTTGTTCAAAAAAAAAGAAAAAGGTCAAATAAGTAGTACAATACTCACTTATCCTCACATATCATCTAATGTTGGAACCTTAACTCAGATTTGTGTATGTTTCCTTTTCGTTAGTTTGAGAGATGGCTACTAGGAATCCAGCGATAACCAAGTTTCAGATTTACATATATCACTCTTTTGATAAATACTACATCTAATGTTTTTAAATGTTGAAATTGTCTCAAATCATTTGGTTATTATTCTCTAGGGAAGGTTATATGCTCTTGCTATTTGTTTGTTTTTTGGAAACAAATGCCTTTTAGAATGAAACAGTATGCTCACAACTGTGGATTATTAACGGTTGTCTGTTTTCCGTATGTGAAAAAACATTTTTGTGTTTTACGAAAACTATCTGTTATTTTTTGCTTATAAGATAATGCATTCAAACTAAATGAGAATTAAATTAGAGAAATTGACAAAGTGAAAAGTGTGAAATCCCAACATAGAAAGTTTTTCTTTCATAAGAAGCAATTTTGATGTAACTATTAATACTAGCTATGATTAAATAATGACTATTTCTCTAATGATTTTTGAGCCAATAATAGGGCATTCATTAGCGATGAAACTTAATGAACAATTTATAAGGGAGCAGTTATAACGAATTACCGATATATTAATGTTGAAATTTTAAACCCTAAAACCCCAATTATAATCTCATATTTGTTGTAAATATGAAAAAATAGAAATAAATTACCATCATTTTAATGATCAAGTTCGTATCTTCATTATTTTGTTGGAAAGTTTTAACAACAATTTAACTAATTATTTATAACGAACTGATGAATTTTAGTACTTGAAAATGAATTCGTATGTACATCAAATCTAGATTTACTTTCATCAGTTTAAGATGCATTAGTTTTTGTCGCTATGTTGATGTATACCTCATATACGGTGAATTAATAACAAACCGGATAATTATTATATATATATATATATATATATATGTGTGTGTGTGTATGTATTTTAGGTTAAGCTAAATTTAATCTAAACTAACAAGCAAAACTATATATTAAAAACTAACCGAGACTTGTCGTTTACGCTAGCATGACGTAAGCATTGTAAGGAAAGATGGAGGCTAATTTCTCAATGCATTGTCCATTATCCTCTCTGCATCGTATATCTCTACATCGATCGCTTTTACTTTTAAAGATTCTTCATACTTCACGTTTGGGTCCATCGATTTGCACCAAGTCTTCGTAAAACAAGTGTCACAAATCTCAATGTAGAAAGAAAATTTCAAAGCAATATAAAAAAGGTGCCTAGGACACTAGTAGACACCCAGAAGGAGTTGTAAGGGAAAAAGAGATATTGAATCGATAATATTCCGTTATAAAAAGAAAATTGATATCCATAAATTTCAATGTAAAAATAATACAGTATATATATATATATATATATATATATATGTATGTATAGCAAAATATGTTGAAATGTAAGAAACTAGAAACTTATGAAAAAAAAATTTGTGTTTTAGAAAATCATCATCAATTTTAACAACAAGTTCTACTCAAATTGAATATTGGAGAAAACACAATGACTTCAAGATATATAAAAATGATAAAACAATTAAAATAGCAATAATGATTAGATGGTTTCAACACCAATATTTAATATAAGACTAATATCAAATAAACAGTTGCAAAATCAATTGGAAAACTTTTGAAAGCAATTTCATATTTCAAAAGATCATAGACCATGCATTACACATGCATGATCTATTTCTTGTGCCCAAAAATATATGATGTATCAATGAACAAGGAAAAATAAAGAACTTAACTGAATCTACAAAGCAAAAATAAAATCTCTCTAAATCTATTTGGTCTTTTTTATACAAAATAGATGAACTATATTTGGTTAGAAATTTTTTTAAGATTTATTACTCTTTTTATTTATTATTAATTATTAAATGTCTATATTTATTGCCTTAAAGAACTCTTATTTAAAGGTAATATATTAAAAATTGGTCAAAGTAAATCAAATTTTAATGTAAAATGTGTAGACTATATTTATTTCCATTATAAACTTATATTGTGAGATAATAATTTAGAAAATTATCAAAGTAAATCAAATTTCGATGTAAAAGTGTGGACTACGGACAGTGCTGGCCCTGTTAAATTTGGGGCCCAATACAAAGTA